CACCCAAAACATGCCTTAAAATGCAAGTTTGTCGCAAAACATTTAGCCAAGTGAATATTTTACACAAACAGTCATAATTTCATCATTTTTCAACATCTGCCCAAAAATTACACGAAAAAAAGATTTTGCCAAAAAATTCTGACAAATTAAAAAAAATCCTCAAAATGCTCTAATTATTACTATTTATTTTTGAGAAACCTTTATTTTTTAAATCTTTTTTTTAATCTTGTTGTTTCTCTTGATCAATGGTTGATATACCAAAAAGTATCTATTTTTTATTTTAACCCTAAAAAATATGTTTAAGGCAAATCATTTTTTTAAACTTATTTTTGAAGACTTGTTTTGTTTATATTATTATAGTATATTACTGTTATCAATTGACTGTGTACCAAAAAGCATTTTATCTGAATTTTAACCATTAAAATGATATAACTATGTATTATAATATTATACAAGTGCATATTATTCATTTTTGAGAAACCTTTTGATAAGTCTTTTTCACTGAGTTATTAGTATTTTTTGTGATCAATGGTTGATGCACCAAAATAGAATATTTTTCTGAATTTTAACATTAACAAAGGACATAGCTATGTAATGTATTTTGATGCAAATTTGTGCATGTCATTGCTTTGTTTTTTAAAATGAAATATATTTGTCCATAGTTGTGTTTGGTTGCCTTTTTACTAGTTTTAATTTCAAATTTTAATAAATAAAATATAGAAAACAACATGAAAATCCTATATAATAATATAAATAATAATAATCAAAGTTTTGACCACAATGTGAATTAATTTTTGCAGGATAGTTTATCTGGGCCTGGTTCTGGGTTTGAGGACCGTCTCCTTCGTCTTTTGTATCCTGGGTTTTGCTCTACTCAAAAGACACATCACAAAGGAGGCAAAAAATTCTCTCACCGCTGACAAGGCACATATGTCTTCACTGAAGAAAGAGGAGAATGGCACCATACACTGTGATTCATTGATGTTGGGCTTGGACTGTAGTCCTAATGGAGAAAGCCACTTGTAAGATACAACATTAGTATGTATGTTGTATCAAACCTATTTACAAGAAACTGTACAAAAGACCACAAAGCAAACACACAGTGCGGGTGTGTTGGACCACTGATGTCCTCAACGTTGCACGTGAGAAATAGCAATAGGTACAAGAAACATGCTGCTTCACAAATGTTAACTTAAAAAAGACCAAACTTCTGTTGCTCGGCTCGGATTTTATATTTTGCAATCTGTGCGGCTTCGAAGCACAAAACTTAGTTTGACTTGAACTTTCGACAAGACCAGTTGTGTTCTGTTACCAGTCAGACCAGCATTCTTTAAGGCTGTTTACATAATAACCAGTATAGTGCTAAAGTCTGAGGTAATGAAGGTCTATTATGATCTAACACATTCACAACTAAATGTAAATCCGTTGTCTGAAAAATGCACAGTTGTGAACTCACTCTTCGGCTCAGGTCGATGATGACTTAGTGTATGTGTGCTTTACCTCCACCGTATATGAGGCAAGTTTACTGTAATATACACTGCTGTGCCCTACAAAAGTTCATTAGAGATTAATGGGACCTAAGGTCTGTTTCTGTGGCACATTTGATTAATTCAATACAAATATGAGCACACTGTGGGAAGGAAGATGCTAAAAACCATAAGTTGTTCAGGTGACCAGTCCATGACAGACATTAAACCAGAAGTGATGCAGATGGAGATGAAACATAAAAACTTTGGAGCTGTTCAGTTTAACGCGAAGATGATGCATGTACATTTTTCAGCATTGTTTAACCAATCTTACCACACTGACTGTTACTGAGTGTATGTAGTTTATACATAGTGTAAATGGCCATGTGTACAGTAACTATGAGTCATTATGGATGATTGTAAAAATTGTTTTTGATGTATTTCTATTTATGGTGCCAGTGAAAATCTGTAAACTTTGTAATATATGTCAGTGAGGAACACACGTTCATTTGTTTTGTTGGTTTTTACCCCTCATGCTTTTTCCTAAATAAAATAAACTGTCATTAAGTTACAAAAGACTGTTGTCTGTGTCACATTTTACATAACTATAACAGAAGGTCTGAAGCAAATGTAATAATAAGTATTATTATTAAAATTGAATGTAGAAATACAGAAACAAGTGAGTTATTCATCTTTCAGTGGATAGTAACAGGATGACTGATAAACTACTACAATAAGACACGGTTTAACTTAAAAATATACAGAAAGATTTGTAAGTTGTGCATTTAATATTTAAATCTTAGTATTTATCCCATAAACTATCAAAGTAGCACTGTACTTTAGTCCAACTGTGTCACTACATGCAAAACTGGATAAAAACTACAAAGAGTGAGTCTAATGTATGAAATCCATGCAATTACTTGTCCTTTTTTTCTTCAGTGCTCTGTAGATTCTGTGGATAAAAAGAAGTAGAGGTTTTATCTTTGGTGGTCATTTAGTAGATAATGTTAAAAGCTCAAAGACAGAGCATAAATCAAACAAAATGATTGCAGAAATTGATTTGTATAGTATGTAATATTATTCTGAATTTTAACAATAAAAGGTGGGTTTTTTTTAAAGCAAATGAATGCATTTATTTTCATTTTTGATTAACGTTTAATTTTGAAGACTTTTTTTAAAATGTATTAGTAAAGTATTTTAATGTGATCAATGGCTGATGTACTGTATGTGATGACAAAATTATATTCTTTGTTACGATCACCCATTTGACTTGTACTGAGACTCGCCTGTTTTCCACTGACACAACCAGCCTGACCTTATGTGCTTGGCCATGATGGGAGATGTTGCTGAGTTTGTGTTCTCTGGGTCGCGTAAGACCTTGACAATTGCACGTATACACTCTGTTTTAGAGTTTCTGTTAGCGTTGCGCTCTGTATGACCAGCGCCTTGAAGCTTCAATAAAAAAAACTTTCACAGACATTTTTTTATATGAAACATTTTTGCATTGTTTTGTTTAAATTTTCGTTTTATTCTTCATTCTAAGGTGACTAAATAAAATTGCCAAAACACGTACCAAAGAAGTATATATTTTTTCTGAATTCTAACCATAAAAAAGACAAACCCACCATTAATCATTGTCATATACTATACTAATAAGATTCTGAAAATGTCTTCAAACGTCTAAGTTCTTTTTTTACTCGTTATTTATTTGAGTTGTAAGTACACTTATAAAAAACTCTTCTAGCCTTTCTTATCTATTAGTTATTCCTATTTGTTTTATATGGAAACTTGACCCTACCTGAAGTTTATGGTGTTCCTGCAACAGTCGGTCATATTCCTGCGCCAGACCCTTTGCCTGCCTCCTCATGGCGTCCACCTCAGTGTGGGACTTGTGCACAGCTACAGGAACAAACAGTCACTTCACTACCAACTACTGCTTTGAGCTGAATAGCTTTGAGATAAGAGGCAGTGATGACTCACCTTCCTGTGTTTCTTTCAGCTGACCTGCCAGCTTCTCCACCTCTTTTTTGAGTTGCTCGTTTTCAGCTGAAGTGGACTTTTCATCATCGAGAAAAGCCTGAGGAAGAGTGAAAAAGAGTATATACAAAAATGTAATATTATTAAAGGAGATTTAGAATAAATGACTTTAAAAGGCAAACACCTGTAATGAATCTATATAAATATATATGCATATATTACTTGTTTGAGCCTAAGGTTGTCTTCCTGGTGCTTCTTGGCGGCTCTGACCGCACTGTCTATCTGTGTCTCAAGGGCAGCACTGTTTTTCAGTGTAACAGCAACCTGGTTCAGCAATGTGACAACTCTAATCATGATACTGTGATCATGTGGAGGCAGGGAATTGAAAAAGGTCAAGACAAAACTGAATTTAACTGAGACAGAAAATGTGAAGTGGTTTTATGAATGTGGAAGTACTACTGTATATACTCACAGCCAAAGGAACAGAGAGAATCCAGATATGTAGAGATTCCTCTGGGCCCTGAACAACTTCATGTGGACATGGTCATACACATTTGGGTTCACCTTGGCATCTTGCATGGGTTCAGGCCCTGAGTATTTCTGCACTTCACGGACTGCATCTAAAGATGAAGGCAGAAGGGGAAAGACGACTTGGCTGTTTTAACTCAGGTTCAACACATGCCGTATAAATAAATCCATCTTCTCAGTGTGGTCTTCACTCAGGCTGCTTACCAAAAAAAAGAACAACAAGAACCATGATCATGGTAAATGAGCATTTGTTCCAGTATGGTGATAAACACTTCCATATTCTCCAGTTGAAAACCGAATGCCATCTGAAAGTAGGTCATAAGGCCAAGGTTAGTGTTACTGTCACAACACACAGAACTAAAATAATGTTTGTTCACTCTACTGGGGATATATGTGTACTGCAGTTCTCAGATTTATAATTTATAACCCCACATAAGGATTTAGATGTAAAAAGCTTTTACCTATTTGCTGATATGAAAGGTATACAGAGGATGAGGTTGACAGCTATCTCTCCATAGAGGAAGAAAGCAACAAACGTCCACTGTAGAGTCATGGCCGCTGTGATTAAATGACAAGAAATATGTTTAAGTGTAAGTACTATACAGTATATTATAAGAAGGTTGTCTTTCACTTGTATGCTTTAAATTTTAGAAATCCACATAATTTATTATCATGTAAGTTTCAATAATGTGTTACATAAAGATATTTATAATTACTGTAGTTATACTGCATATGTGACTTTTGGGTGAGAATTTGCTTAAAACCTGTATTATCTATACAAAAAAGGGTGCAATATTCTTAAACAATATTTTTGTTTGCTAAACCAAGGGCTGAAAAACAGCCCCAAACCTTTCTGGAGCCTCCTCCATGTGTCACTAAAGTCTCCATAAAGTTACATGGATGATGACACCCGCACATGTCTCTCTTTAACTCTTAACTGTGAAGTAATCGTTTGTGGTTGATCATTTTTGTTGCCTCATCAATTACTTGTTTTTTTGGCTGCAACTTCATTTATTCCAAGGTTTTTTAGGCCCAGGAAACATTGAGCAAAAACAATGTATGTATTGATTTTAAATAATCTTCATTGAAGTGATAGGGTGGAATGGAATAGAGTCCAACACCCCAACAACAATGAATTTTAACCACAAAAACGGACAGAGCTAAGTATTTTAAGACAAATTAGGGTATTTTTTGTCATTTTTGAGAAACTTTTATTTTCCGAGAATTGTTCAGTTACTCATTGGTATAGTATAACATATTATACTTTAATACAGGTCCAGATGTATTACCATTCCTAATGGTCATGCCTTACATGGCAACAACTTTCATACAAAGCAACGCGAAGTGCCACGTAAAATTGTATCTTTGTATCACAACATTTAAGCTAATAAGTAATACACAGGTCCACACGCATTAGGTTCTGAAAGTGTGTTCCATTTAAACGTAAAAAACTAACAGAAACAGCTCTTTTCACTGCTAGAAAACCACCACCACTGAACAATCATTGTCGGTTCCCCTTAGTTTTAAAAACTAAACATTTTTGATCCGTTTTCGGACATAAAACAAATTGTTTTCTTACCAGGCAGAGCAGTGAATGTGAAAGTTCAAACGTGCATGCGCATGCGCTCTCTCACACAAGCACATTCACAACAGCTGCAGAGGGACGTCACCGCACTCACGTCTCAAAATAAAACTCTCATGTTCAGTTGACCTTAGTGGTAATTTCTCTTTTTTAGATTATATAAAATATATGGTCCAGTCAGTAAAATGTTTTAGTATCATTTTTCAGCATTTTTAATTCAAATCAACCTGATGTTCTCCTTTTGAGTCTAGTGTTTTATGAGTTTATTTTGAACATTTTGGTAAAAATAGATTAAAAACACATTACTCGAAAAAAAATTATAAATAAACTAAAAATCTAGGCGTTCAGAACAGGTACTACAAAACAAATCATACCCGCTAGATGGCAGTCTTAGCCAATGATTAAATTATCAACAGAAGCTTTTTTTAAGTCTAGAGAGAGAAAAAAAATCTTTTTAAACGTTGTGTAAAAGAGATTCAGCACCACAGAAAAGTTAGACCAATGTAAAGATTCAAAAGTCACATGTCACACAGACAAACAGATACCCCTTTTTGGTGGAGCAAATATTATTGAGCAGCCCTGTCCACTCTTTTACTCCAGTGTAGTCAGAAACAGAAATTTACCACTGTAGTAAAGTAAAACATCTATCAATCTGAAGACTATTCCTCATTCTTGATATTCACCCCACAGCATGGACAAAGTGCAGTGACCTCTGAGGAGGGAGACGTGGCCATAGCAGAACCGGCCACATCCAGCACGAACCATTTATCCTCATGAGTATTTTCTCTTTGAACTTGTTGATTATACTTTTGGGTCCAACTCTGGACAATCAGAAAACCAGTTCAAGAAACAACCATGGGTATACACTGTCCCAGAAGACCGCAGGGATCCAGACGCCTTGTATCATGCAACTAGATCAATGACCTATTTTTAGGGCTGAGTTATTTTTGTACTTTGCAGGAAAGCAACTGAATATATGTCATCCAATGACTGATTAGAGCCAATGCAATCATATCAGGACTTAGGTGTAATGTTCTTCCTTGCTGTGATGATTGAGACAAATTTGTGTTTTTCTTTAGTGGTATTTCAGAAAGATATAAAAGTTGAAATAAAGCTTCATATTTGAAAAGAGAAAAAAAGGTAACTTGTTCAGTGTCTTCTTCAGAAAGTCCTGACACTGAGTCAATGACTTAAAAAAAGGGACTGGGAGACTGCAGAGGTACAGTAAATGACAGTACATTTAAATGTCAGATTCCTTAAACGTAAATTAAATAATTCTTGAAAAAGACTTTAAGAATAAAGGCTTTTTCAAGATTTATTCTCATGGAAACAAATTTGTGCCAAAATGTCTTGTTTGAATGTGTATCATATTGATATTTTAATCTCAGTCATGTCAAAAAATGTTGATTTCTGTCACAACCATCTGACATGCAGTCTCTTCCAAGACAGACTTTCGCAGAAGGAAATCCAAAGAGATTTCTCCTAGTCTGCCTTTGTTTGCTTTCTGAAAACAGTTGCATGCTGCATTATTGACCGTTACATAGCACTAGTGTTGCACACCAACAACACAGCCATTAGCATCTCTTCACCAAAACTTTCACTTTGTTCTTCTGTTTTTTTAAATAAATATTTCTCATAAAAATATAAATGCTACTCTCCTGCACATCCTTTGCATTTCTTCTTCTCCGCCGGATCGAAACTGCAAGTAGGTTTCATCTGTGAAAGACGCTGATCGCTGCCACTCTCTTCTACTGCATACCTCAGGAGTGCTGAGGAGTAGAATGTGTACAGCTGCATCCTGTGATGGCTTTTTGAAAGTGGCCAAATGAGTGAAGCAGAACTGAATGTGCTTTGATTGCTCTTCTCTTCTCACCATCCCAGAGGTCACAACCCAGGAGAATGAGCAGTCATTATAGGAAAATGCCCGGAAAAGGCAGATGGTCGGGGCTGCAGTCATGGATGTTGTAACCTGTGAGAAGGCCATCCTAACATTCAATGTAGATAGACAGCAAATAGACAGACAGACAGACAGACAGAGAGAGAGAGAGAGAGAGAGAGAGAAAGAGCGAGAGAAAGAAAGAGAGAGATATGTTTGATTCTAGGAAATGATATGTTAACAATCACACACATATATAGATATAGATATCCAACAAATTAGATTTCTTGCTCTTTGTAAAAATAGTTAAACATATACACAAAACAAAATGTATCCTCTACATTCTCTGAACGCTTCCAGGGAGCAAGGAAAGTACAAGCATGCATTTCTCTAGATGTTCCTAACCTCCTACCAGAAGGCTAGGAACCTATGGATCTATCTCCAGTGTCATTAATTAAATGGTTTTCATTTAAGTTGTGATAAAAAAAATGGATGTTTGATCCAAAAAATATTCAATACATAGATAAGAAAACCATACAATTACAGCATAACGCTTTAGGAGACAAAGTTGTCTCCAAAAGATGTCTCCAGATGTGTCCAACAGTATAACCTTTGGACTTTCCTTTAAATGTATACTGTACATGGACATACAGTACTGTATCTCCACATACTGCTCTAATGCTCTTCTGTTGAGTGACATTATTTAAACTATTAAATACATGTTACAGCCTCAATAATTCACTTTAATAACTGTAGAAACTGAGTTATTGCATTTTATCCTTACAGTAGATGTATTCTGCATCTCTGTGAAGTGCCAGTACTCCTTCACTGCCGTGTGCTTGATTCATTCATCGTCTGTGGAGAAAATGAAGGGAATATTTACAGCAGGACGGCTGGAGGCTTGAAATAACTTGCACCATTCTCCAAGTCTGTTGCAACAGAAGCTGAGAGAATTCTATTTAAAATGTATTCTGTTTTTAGTAAAAAAACAACAGACACTCACCGCGTAGTTCCAGGCCTTAGCTGCCAGGCTGTGTTTAAGAGCTCAGCTGTAGTGGTGGGAGCCAATTCATGCGTTCACATGTGTGGAGAGGGATGGAGAGAATGGCAGAATAACCAGCAGACAGTGTGTCATCAGTGATAGAAAGATGGAAGGCGGCGGACTTCTCTCTGCCATCTCGCCTCTCACACTCATCTGTGTCATCATCAGATGTAGAAACGTGTACGAGCAAATACAGATAAAATACACAGTACAGTGATGAATAGATTTGAAGAGGAACACTTACTGTATATACTATCGTACCTAATTAATCTCTACCGCCTTTTCTAGATTTAATTAAGCAACTTTGTTTAGCCTTAAGGAGTCAATACGTTGCCTTGGAATGAATCATTTGCAGAGGCTTTTGCAGGAGCCTTATGTTCTCTGACAATAAAGGGCAGAAAACGTCCACAGTATTGATTTAAAGGGAGTCTGCTGTCTTGTTTTCTGTAGTAACACACAATTAGAGCCATGAAAGGCAGAGTGTTTGCTGTATTTCTTCATCTGCCTTTGGTCACTGATTTCTGCTACCAGCACAGATTTACCAGAGCCGAGATGATCATTATCACAGTAATACATCTTCAAACTCTATGAAGTGTCCTTCCATCCTTCCAAACGCTGCTCGGTGAGAGCAACATTTACAAAATGACCACAAGCAACGATTTGTCAAGCACTGCCAGCTGATGTGCTCAATTAACTTTCTTCTTCTCTACAGCAGCAGAATTACAGTTGAGTGCTCGCTGACTTAATGCAATAGAGGCCCCATACGGACGAGGTAATGTGATTTCCCCAGCTCTTATTCTGTGTCTGCAGCCGGATAGAGAGGAGATCTGAAGAGATGGCATCTGAATTGGGGCAGCTATTGAGCAAGGGATGGAAGACGAAAATGTATTTGATGGAGACAGTGGCAAGTAGGAGACTTGATGTGGTGTGTGGGGGAAAATAGAAGGACACAGCAAGGTCACATGATTCTAATAAAGGTCCATGTATTGACTGTGCCTCTTTAGCCCGTCCTTTTGGTTGGCCAAGGTTAGAGATGTAGCTGTGAGCTGTCAGCCAAACCAATAGCACAACCAGCGTTACTGGCCTGCAAAACATATTAATGCAAGATGTTAAATGGTACAAATATATAAAAAATTGAACCACAAGGTCAGCTGTTTGCAGCTGTAGGTAACAGTGTAACGCAAGCAAAATCCCTATTCCCACAGGAGTTGGTATCACTCTGTAAATTCAGTAAGAACAAAACATTTTATTGGGTTATGTATTTGACCTTGAATTAGTATCCAAAAAAGACATATGGGCGACATTCATCAGTTTAAATAAATAACTTCTGTTTGTTTCACATAACAAAATTTAGAATCTCAGCACAATCAAAAAGTTTAGACAGATGCCCTTAACACAAGCTCAAGTCACCTCTTTAGAGTTGTACTATTTTGTCCTTTGAAATGTATAAATGTTGTGTTATTGTACACACCTGGGCTGCTAAGTAATATTCGGTTGTCGTTGTTTGATGGTTTTCCTTCGATGATGCAGCAGAAGGTTTTGATAAAAAACACGTGGACAGCAGGGAGTCCAGTCAGACACTGAAACACTATTCCTATCAAAACAATGTAATTTAACTGCTAACATTATGTTTAAAAGGCTGTGAAAGGGCATAATCTTGTCAGAAAACACATGAAATTTAAAATCCCTCCTCACTGTGATTATATTTTATTTCCTCTGAGGTATGGCCTGACCTCAGTACCACATATTTGTAGTTTTGATGGTTTATTACACAATGTTTTTGTGGGTAAGCAGATGATAAGAACAGCTAAAACCTGTAACCTGAACCCTACCCACAGCCATGTGTACAGTATGTACAATAATAAATAAAAAAACTCCACTCATCTCATCTCACCACAGCACTGATGTCTAATGTTATTTACAGTCAGAGGTATATCATGTTCTCCTACGGTACAACCCTCGTTCATGCAGAAGCAGCCTGTGTTAAGTGACAGTGATTTCTCACAGTTCCTCTAGACCCCGCTGGTCATGTCCATTGCAGCGTAGCAGTTGCTAATGCATTACCATCTATGGGATGGACTCTTGTTATTTATACATCGGGGTGTCTTGACTGTATAATACACTGCAGATGGCGACAGTGTTAAATTGTCTGCTGTCTTGCACTGGAACTAATTGAGAAACTGAGCAGAAGGTCTTTATTTGACTTTTTTTGTAGCATTCGATTAACATCCGTTTGTTTGTCATTACTGACATACAGTATGCACACATATGAAAACACAGAGAATTTGTCCTTGTTTGTTGCATTTTACCCACAGGTGAAACAAGAGCACTGTGCTGCACCTGGGGTGCGGGAGTAATTTTTGGCACCTGCTCAATTCACCACAGAACTTGCCAGGGATTTAAACTGGCAAACATCTGATCACAAGCCACTTCTGCCCTAGGTTATAGAAGGTCAAATATATTTGTTACATATTATAATATCTACACTTGTTTTCAAAAGTTACCTTGTAGTTCCTGCCAACCTGTTTGGACGGTACAAACTGTTAAGCATTGAGCATGTGAGCAGGGTCGACACAAAAATAGGAACGGGCATGAACACCAATTGTTTTATTAAGACCGAGTCTGAATGAGTCCAAACCACAACATCACACCAGCTCTAACTCGGATAACACTCCACATTTAACACTTGGTGAAGCGGAACACTGTAGTAAAAGTTTCTTTATAAACACTGATAAAGAAAGGTCTCTAGTTTAATAGCTCTCCTTAGTGTTAAAGGAAACTTCAGGTTATTCTGTCTTCATTTGAAAAACTCATTTGACTCCATCACTGAGGCTACACCTAAGTAAAGTCTATTTGGTGTAAATAGCATTGACTGTTCAGAAGTAATTTTAGAAAGTAATCAATAGAAATGATTTTTCAGTACCTGGAACTAATGAGGTTTAAAATAGCACCTGACATGATGCAATAACAAAACAAACATGACTTTAATTAAGAAATATTTGCAGAGAACAGACAGTAGCTAGTGAGCACAATAAATAAATGTGTAAAAAAAATGGCACTGAACCTCTGAACTTTCCTGGCTAATATATGGACTCACGACCGTCAGTGTTTTATGTCCGTGCTCTGACTTCGTGGCTCATCTCTTGGTCATTTTCCCTCCACTGTCGGCTAATCTGTTGCTGGCTACGATCCCATTTCCACTCCCAATCACAGACATAGCCGCGAGGCACTGTGACATCCATGCTGCCTTTATATGGCAGTATCATAAAAAACCTTTCCTGCATCAATATTCCCATATCAGTGTTGACTGCTGTGCTACAAACCACTCTCTCTCAGTGACAGCCAGGGAATCATCCCATCATGGTTGTGTAATCTCTGTGCTGTGGCCAACAGCCCTGATCTGTCGGGACTCTAACCAGCTCTTTAGATTTCTACCTTACCAGAGGCAACAAAAGCATCAGAATCTCTTTCCTTAGCTGGAGGACAGCGTTTATATTTATGCGTGTATATTCAGTATTGAGCACATACACCTTACGTACATCTTCTCTGGGCACATCTAGAGCTAAGAGTAAATGTAATCTCAGTAAAGGGATTTGATAAAGGGAGCTGACAGTAGAAAACTGATTGTTTCATTTGGTAGATTCCTACTATTGATGTTCACCTATATGGGCTAATAAATTATTGCTAACTTGTTATTACTCGGGACAAACTCATCAATAAGGTTGGACTAAAAATAAGAATTGGCCACATTAATTATTTACCTTTAGAAGCCACTTGGGAAATACTCCTCTGTTTTTCTTTGCCCACTCCTATTAGTAGTAATCACATGCAGAGCAAAGGTATTTAATTAACTTCTATTGTTAATTGTAAACAGAAATTGAAATCGTGAGCAGAAGTAGGTCTTAATTATCATATTGGATTCACTAGTTTGGAAATCATTTGCCGCCGGCAGCTGCAGTACAATCCAATAGCTAGAAGTCCGCGCTTAAAATTTAAACTGAAATTAAATGAATATAAATGAAAGTTTGTGTGTGTGTGTGTGACTTTTTGTGTCACTTTAAATAAATCACCACAAAATAAGACGAGAGTAAAGATTCCATTTGGCCCAAAATGGTGACTGCTAAAATGAAACAGACGTGGTCCAAATTCACGTCTGGTTTATGTCAAATTAGATCAGAAACAGGTTCCGCTGGGTTTCAAGAATGTGAATGTTCTTCTACGCTAAACACAGGCTTTGTAAACAGAAGTGGAATAGTTTTTTACTAAACTCTACATCGGGCCCTAGTTTCTGTTCATGTCCCTTCACCTCTGACCAGACTGAACAGATAATGATGATGATGGTGGTGCTGATGATGAGCAGAAGAAGATTGTTGTTATATTTACTGTATTAACAGTAGTTACCCAAGTGTTGCGTTCATTTCATGTTGAGCAGTTTGGTGTTTGCAGTCAAAAATGCTTTTAGTCTTAAACTTCTGTTTGTTATTTATAGCTAAACCTATACACACATTGGTTATTGTTAGGGAACTTTAATAAAAAGTGATTTAAGCTCTTGGTGGTTTGGGGCTATATTTTATCTAACATCATCAGACTTGGTGAAACCATTAGCATCCTCCTGGAATCACAGTGTGAGTCAAATATTTCAAGCAATTTTAAGCAGGCCACAGATATAGAATTAAAAATAGGTGCAGAGATACTGACAGTGTATGATTGGAGTCTGTTGACAATCACAGGGAGAGGACGCAGGTGAAGATGCAACTGTAACCTGAACACAACTGCATTAAAGTTCTTCGAGTGGTGAAGGAAAACAATTCCTAAAGATTACCTAAAGAAGTTGCAGAACAGCAAGAACAAACTTATTTCAGATGGCTTGAAAAATAAAGAGGTCATTAAAAATAATTTGACTCAAACACCAAATATACATTAAATAAACATAATATGTGTTTTTAACCAATACTTTGGGCGAAACAGAGAATCACTGATGCGTTTTTGGTTTAACACAAGGCTACGGCTGAATGCAAGATGGTGCAAAATGTAAAAGGTCTGTACACCGTCACCATGATAATGTGAGACTGTGGTCATCGGTGTTGGCAGCTTTAATTTAAATTTGACATCCTCCCAGCCCTAGGGCATCCCAGACAATAAGGTCAGTGGTCACAGAGGACCGCAGGATCTGATGTCTGAGTGAGTGAGTAGTGTGGAGGTGATGAATGATAGTAATCTCACCATCACAAACACTTCACTTTCTGGAGAATAGAGTTGCCTTTTGTGAGTGAACAAAAATTTATTATAAATATACGTATACAGAACAATATCTTCTTCTTCTCTCTCTCTCTCTCTATATATATATATATATATACATATATACCTTGTCTTTTACATACATTGTGTATCTACATTATATATGGGTTTGTGTTTTCCACAGAAACAGGCTCTATCTGTGACAGTACTTGTGGGATTAGGGGGGTACAGCCGATGTCTGCCTGTCCACAACACAGCGCAGGCCTATCACTGGAATACATTATTCTAAAGCAGACATCAAATACTTACTATGACGAAAAATTCCGCCTGACAACAACAGAACATCTTTTTTTTTTTTTTTTTTTTTAAAAGATGTTTAAAGGGTCCACAGGTCCACTGATGCAGTGGGATTTCTCCTGGTGTAGACGACGACTTGACAGAAGGGTCCATTTTTCCATTGTCCATGTTTTGAGGACAGAGAGAGAAAGAGACACAGACAAACAGTGGGAAAGGTCACACAACTCCACGATGAGGCAATGGCACAAAGCACAAACTCAGAGATTCTTTATCGGACAATAAGAAGGATTAAGTTTGTGGTCCAATTAGAAACTGTGGTCGGGCTAATTAAATATTAATTACCTAGATTCTCACTTTGGTAATTAATATGAAAGAAAAAAAGAACTTTATGCTGTCACAGTCACAAAATGCCATGCAATATCTACAATATATTACCATCTGTATCATCAAAGCTACGTCTCAATAAATAGTAATAAATAATCAACCTGGTACTTTTGTACATTCTATGACATATAATATATACACAACTGCTTTGGATTAATAATTTCCCTTTTAAACCTAACCTGATGTCGGTTTTAGCTGCTTTTATTGGCTGTGAAGTGACTTTCTTCACTCCACATCCTCAGAAGACAGACATTTTTGTCGAGTGTCTTTGTCATCAAATGTAACCTTTTTGTTCCTCTTGGGATCAATCCAGGAGTTGTGGATGACGGCGTTATTAGGTGTGGGATCCGCCTCGATAATGGACACCACTCTCTTTTTCATCTTGCTTTTCAAGACCTTTTGAAACTTCTGCCTCGTGAAAGCATAGAGTAAAGGGTGAAAAATAGTGGTCCCATATGCCATGACCAAGAAGCCCAGTCTCAACTTCACCATTAAGTCACTGGGACCAACACTCAGGATTACCGTGTTGAGTACCGTGATGGGTGTCCAGCATAAAAGAAAAGTAGAGACAATAAGGAGGGACATCCTGAAAACTCGTTTTTGTCGCTCCCGTCTTTCTCTGTGACGTTTAACAGCCCTGCGCAGGGCAATTATCACAGAAACAGAGGTGCGCATTCCCAGCGTGGGGTTTCGGCTGCCGCTGCTCTGTGATCCGTCTGTGGCCTCTTGTTGCGTTGTCATTGCCGTCATGGATGGGTGCTTTTTCCGGCGAGCCTTCTTCTTTTGTGAAGTGTGAAAACGTGTGCCAATGCGAATATTGAGAGCTTGCAAAATCTTTGAATAAGTAATGAGCATGACGACGGCAGTGAAGAAGAAAATAGGTATCTGAGCGAGCAAGTGATAATACAAGCCAAGTTCTGTGTAGTACTGATTAGTATGAACCACATTCTCCACCACCGTCTGGTTCAGCTCAGCGTGGCCCTGAGCAAAGAATCCCACCTCAATAAATGGTACAAGGAAACTTACAAAGGACAGCACCCAGATGGCTGCCAGCAGGGCCAGGGCTCGGCCCATGGTCAGCACTCGGTTAGCCGGTTTGACTGAGATGTCGTAGCGATCCAGGGTGATGGCAAGCACATTAGCGGCCGTGGCGACACTGGCAAAAGAGACACAGGCTTCGTGGAAACAGCAGACCAGGGCTGTGTCTCCCTCCAGGGAGAGCAGCACCACCACGATGGTGAGGGGGATGCAGCAAATACAAACCAGCACATCCAACACATGAAGGTTCATAGTGACAATGTTACTGACAGAACTAATGAGGTTGGACTTCATACAGTAGAGGGCCAGCACAGTGAGGTTTGAGCTCAGGCCCAGGACGATCTCCAGCATGAGGAACGCAGTCAGCGAGACCTGAAAACTGACAGGATAGGAATACGTGTTGGAGTTTGCCGAATTCATGTTACGGCTGATGGGTTCGGTGTTGTCGGTAACTGTGACGTTGCTCATGGTGGCTTCTTGTTCCAGGTCAGAAAGGATATGCATTATCCTGTGAGGAAGAAGAAGAGCAATAAAATGACCAAGGAGAGAATCAAGAAGAAAAGATTTTTTGAGTGTCTAACACTGAAAAGTTTAGAATTGACACTTATCAAAGGAAATTCTGTCAGATGTGAAGATTCCAGTTGCCATATGATTAAGAAATCTTTTGAGCTCAAATAAGAAATGCCAAGAGCAGACGCTGTATTGATGTTGATTTTTTTATCTCTCAAATTGTCTCACAATGAACATGGTGAGACAAGCTACAATTACTTTACCTCAATCATCTGCTAATTTCGTTATCACAAGCTCTGATCACAGAGCATTTAAAACAGGGATTTGTAATATGAAAGAAAATCAAAACTGACATTTCTTTTACATTTTACTGACTCCGTCTGGGCATTTTCTGTATTATATTTAAGGCCATGATGATATTTACCCCATTAAAATAGAGATTAATGTAATATTTAGGAGGAAGGTAATACTATCTACAGACCTTTGTAACCACACCCATCAATTCTCTATGCACTTTAGTCAAATGTCAAATAAGGATGATCAAAGTTGGTTCATAACTGATAAGGACCTACGTATGGCTGGACTTAAATTATTGACCAACATTCGCCTCAAAATAATCTTTGCATTAAAACTGGAGCTAATAGGAAGAAGAACTCTAATCATGTAGAGAATTGACCTTATGGAGATACAAAGACAACGGAAATAAATGCAATCAATTCCAAAATGGTAATAAGTGGAATATGAAGGAAAATATTGTTTTAATTTACCTTTCCCTCCAGCAGAATCTGAATACCAGGGCTGTGTAATCAGGCCATAGAGTCGATTTTCGGTCCACAGAGACAAGCACCACTTTCAGACATGGCCAGAGGTAAAGTGTTTCTGTAACAGCAGGAGCCCCCAGCAAGGCTTTTCCTTTCACTGCTCACTCCTGCCAGAGTGGCCGACAGCCAAAAAAGCACCTGTCTTTCGTGACAAGGACTATCTTTGGAGTGCCTACATTTTATTTCCTATATTTGAAGGTAAGAAAACTAACAGAAAAAAAGAGCCAGAGAAAGATCCAGTGGAGTTCAATATACGATGACCGACTTCTTCCAAAGGATTGTTTTTGGGTTGTTTTTTTTTTTTTTTCCAGATTTCTGGTCTGTTTGCTTTTGTAATGGTGGGAGAGCTGATGGATGATTGGAACAGGGATAAGATGTCAGAGCCACCTCCTGTTTATAATCACATGATATTCCCAGACTGGAGAAACACAGCCAATGAAAAAAACAATGAAACACAGACTCTTTTCCTTGCACAGGGGTGGAATTCACCGCTCATCCAAATCATTCCTTTTTTTCACTTTTTGTCCCCAGAAAGGTGAATGTAGATTTATATATAAAAAAACAAAACAATTGGTAGATCCATCAGTAAACGCCCTATGCTGTCAGTAAGCCATGTACATGTCAGCTCCCAGGTGTCCATCATAGTAATTTCCAGAATTTGTCCATGAGAGGTCAGTTTGTCCATGTAATGTCCAGGCCCATGTGTCCCCTGGGATCACTAATGGAACAGGCCTTCAATTTCCACCTTTCCCATCCGTCTCTGTATGACTGGCTCCAGCCACCATTGACTTGTAAATCGAGAGCAAGTCTCCAGTTTGCTCCTTGACATGTTGAACACTCAATCACCTCAGAGAGAGTGCATATGTATCTAATCGCTATGATGAGTGGCCATCATAAAGTAAAAATTTACTGGCACTTCTTCAAGGTGATTCTGAAGGAGGATGATCCTGATAAAATACTGCTAGAATGAAACCATCTAACATGGTGCGTGGGTCAAAAAGTGGATTTTAGGAGGCATACAGCAGCAGCTGTCCTTCCATCCTACGTCTTTCTTTGACAGTGACCTAAAGAAAAAGAAAGAAAAGGATAAAAGTCGGTGATGGAGGAGAGAGTGGGAGGAGTAGGAGTCTAAAGTGTGGGGGATATGGTAATAAAAATAAACATTATCCTCAGCAGAGAGGCGACATGGAAACTCTTATTAACATAGCAACAAGCCTCTGATGTCTCGTCGTGTTTCTTTGCATCTTCTGACACTCTTTACATCTGCACTGTTGCATTAGAATATCAGTGGCCAGAGATGAAGCTTGGACAAAAACAAGAAATAATCTTAAAATAGGTCAGAATAGTATTTTGCTGTTGTCGTTGTTCTGAATTTCAATTACTTCAGGCAAAGCTGATTATATGCGTTAGCATGCCAATTGTACAGACTTAGTGGTGCTGTAAGGATCCCAATTCCTGTGAACATACAGACAGGCTTAGAGTCTGAGCGCAGTGTGATTCCTTGGGGAACTTGTCATAAAGACACGGATGCTTGCTCAGATGTCACTACATGTGATCCGTGTAATCTCTTCAGTGGAACATGTCGGTCATTGTTCAAGGTTGGCTCAGCCAGAGATGCCATACTTTATGACGCTAAAATGTCAGTGGAAATGAGCAATAAATGTCAGGTAAGGGAAGGGATCATGCACAATGTGAGGGTGCAGAGTTGAAAAGTGCACAATCAATATCAGGTGTCTGACAGTGTGGAATTATAAAAAAAAGGCAATAAAAGACAAATGTGCATTAAAAAAATCAAAGGTACAAACAGAAAGATTATGGATATGTAATGTTAATGGAATCAAGATTATTTTATTGCACATTTTTTGTTGAAATTGAGGATAAATCAGAAGTTCAGGATTTGGTTTTTTTTTTTTTTTTTTGGTTTTGTTTTGGTTTTTGTAGTGACAGTTGTTTGACAACAAGTCTGTTTTGCAGCCATTTACGCTTCTCTTAGCTGAGTGCTGTAAACCAGACCAATGACCCATCACAACACAGCACAAGCTCACCATGCAAGATAAACACAGATGCTTCAGGACTGGTCCACAAACCACTTTGTCTCTTCTGTTTTCTCTCTTCTCAGACTGCATCAATCTGGGTCTGAAGATACAAAATTCCCAACTTGTTTTCAGTTGCAGTAATCCAAGAATGAGGAATAAATGTTGGACGAACACACAGGGGTCAAACAACTGACAGATGTTCTTTCTCTTTGAGTCCTCGACAGAAGAAAATCAAGTCCACACAGATTAGTCCTGACAGTCAGGTTGCTGGGATTCTCCAGTTCCTTCTTATGCCCTCATTTTGATTTTACCATCCATGTGATCTGCTGTGTGATCACTCATCTCAAATCTCTGTTATGCTTCCTGGATGGTAGTGCAATGGTTTGCACTGCTGGTATCACTCTATCCTCTGCTCTGCTCTGTTCTGTCAAAGTACTCCCTCGTCCCCCCTTTCTCTCTCTCTCTCTCTCCCTCTCTCTTCCTCTCTCTCTCTTACTGCGGAGGTTTGCAGCAAGAGAAAAGACCCATCCTGATTGGTCTTTTGTAATAGGCTTAACCCTCTCTTCTCCAGTAAGGGGAAGGTATTTTCTTTTGTTCCAACTCATCTCTTCCCTGCTGGTGGCTGTGACATCCCTTTTTGGGTTTGTAGCGATTAAAAAAAAAAGATTTACTCTGCTTTTACACACTGCATTGGTCCCTTAACCTGCTGCAGTTGGATAGGGAGTAAATGTAGGGATAATGTATTAATTAGTGCTGTCACGACATAATGATCAAGTAATGGGTTTGTGTGCTGTAGAGGGAATGATTTGGGTGCAGAGCCAAGGGAAAGGAGCCATATTTTGGGTATTGATTTGTGGACACACTGTAAGTCTTAATACAATGTTCAATTGAGCGTGAGAAGCAGAGAGACTGACTGACTGATATGCATACGGTAGAAGAGAGTGAAAATCAGAAAAGAAAAGACAATAGTGCTTCTGATTGATTGTTTCAATTAGGTTGCACTGTCAGATCAGTTAGAGGTTGAACACCCTCCATTCCTTTGTCAAGGACCATTTGTCAGGTGCAATTACTGCCAGAGGGTATTCTAGCACCTGACAGCCTCCAGTAAAGAAGACGAGGCACCTGTCACTCTGGCATGGCCACCCTAAAAACACATAATTTGTAGTTAGTGAGTCTTACTAGGTGTGTCAAGGTGATGTACAAGAGCTGTAATGTTTTTGCAAATATATAAATTTAAAAAAAATCCTTCATCCTGTATCCTTTGTACATGAACATGTACATGACTTGCAGTAATTCTGCCAGGAAGTAGATCTGTGGCTTAAATTTAATATTCTACCATCTCATATTTAGACAAAAAGACGACGAATTACGGTGGACATGCACAACCTTAAGTCGTTGAAGCGTACAGCTCCACAGAAAACTGGCTGCTCACTATTCACTGTACAAAACAAAATCCTGCTGTGGCTACAGTGGGACTTCAAGATACGAGCTCAAGTTAAAGGGTAAAGTGGATCAGCATTCTTTTTGTTTACTATGACAGAGTACAAACATTATAGCAGTATTTAGCTTCAAATCTTAGAAATCCAAAAATTATAATTTCAATCTTTCTATTTTCATCATTTCTTTCTTTTTAATTTCAAATGTGGACTGTTCATCTCCTACTTTTGCAGTGCATTAATATGGTCATTTGTTTGCACTTTAAACCTTCTGCATAAAGTTTACGCAAAAAAGTTTGCATAAAGTGCATGCATTGTCTGCGAGTAATTAAGTCACATTTGCAGACTGTTCTGAGACTGTTTGGATAAAGATAGTAATTATTTTTAATGTTCATGAACATTCATCTCTCTTTGTGGCTCTCTGATGGTCTGGATGTCTGATGTCCATGTACCTGACCTGGTGACCTGTTGTCAACTGTGATTGGCTCAGATACCCCAGGATCCGTTAAAATCAAAAAGGAGCAGAAGACATATAAAAATTAATGCAATTTAAAGTGCTGGTTTGCCACTGATCTCAAATTTGAAAACAATATTCCAAACTCCATCTCTGTATTTGTTGTCACACCTGTTCTTTCTCTCCCTCTGAAGCCTGTTGGCTCCTGTTCCCCTCTTCTTCTTCACATTTTATCTTTATTAGCCAAAGCGTGGTATCCCCATCTGACCCTGTTTCAGTGGCTGGACTCCTGGAGCTGCAGCGCTCTGATGTGGTAAAAGTGCAAACAAAGTCTTTATGAAGGTGACTCTGTTGGACTGTGGAGCTTGAACACAGTGATAAGTGTTTGTATGGCTGGATAATACCTGGTATAGAATTCAAGTACCCAAAATAGATCATCATATGGCACTGAAATCAGGTCATTGAGATCACACATGTCTAGACCACATAAAGACAGAATATTCCCCAAGGGTCGGATCTTGCCCACAGACGTATTGTATTCTGTTTGTCGGTAAAAAGGCCTAAAGGAATAGAAAAAGAAAAAAAAAATTAAAAATCAATGATAAGCAGCACAAAGTTACCAGAGACGTGTGTACTGCTGCCAGAACACAGAGGCTCCAACAGTTTCTGATTACAGTGAACATGAACCAGGACAATATTGAGCAATGCTACTGTGCTATATTCAGTTACTGCAAATATACTGTTACATTTATGGACTATTGTAAAAGTATTTGAATCTGTTTAATAAATTAAACGTCATTGTTTTAAGATTGTTTTGTTCAGTAGAGTTTTTTCTGTTTTCAATATTCTACCACCAAGAATAAACTGGCAGTGTCTGTTTGTAGTCATGTGAAATAGACTTAGAAATGTTTAGAAAATATATATCTATACCAACGTCCATGTAGCACAAAGTATTTGATACCATGACACACTCTTTTCATAGTATTGGATCCTGTTGGAATATTGGAGTTTTTACGTTCTTTTATATAATTTATGCATTTGTTTCATCTTATGCTATTTCTCTTCCAATGTGTTTAATTGTTTTATTTTTGGAAATGTTCATCTATATACATTTGAATGTCTGATTTTTATATATATACAGAAATGTGAGCTCTAGAGAGAATTTTTCAGAGATAAAATAAAATGAGCAATGTTGATCAGTTCTTTCATCACTAAATAGAAAAGCAATAACATAATTTCCCACAAATAAGTAGGAAAATGAAACAGAGCATTTCAATCTTTTGGTCACTGTAGGACTTTTTGATATACTCTGAAAGAGGTCCTGTAAGCAGGAAACTCACACAGAGCCTGCATTATTGATGCCTGCATTTTCACTTTCTGCCTGAACACGAACAAGAAACCTGATACCCAGCAGCAGAGCCAGCGATTGCTTTTTGTTTGCTGCTATCAAAATAAACGCTCCGGATAGTCTGTTCACATCCGACCCGACCAGTGGGTCAGGTGTTGAACAGAAGGGAAAAACAAAGAATTACAAGCATTATAAATAGACTTGAGGCCCCTTGGGACATAGTAGTTATTTGTGACCTTCATCAAAGCAAGAATTGCAAAAGTATTCTGAGTCAGAGACGAGACAGAAGAAAATACAATGAGCTGATCTGAAGCATCTCTGACAGAAACTGACACTGCTTTTTGTTGCCTATGCACATATTTAACATTAGAAATATCCCACAGCACAAGACCAAAAATCTCACAAAGAGTATATGAAATGAAATATAATGATCTTCTAGCTTCAATTTAGTGACTATTACGCCTACTTAGTCACTAGATGTGAACCCCTGTGCCTGTTTAGTCCAAAACAACACTGATATGATCACAGGAATTGAGGAAAAACACACACAAACAACGCAGACTATGTAATTTGATTAATGCATAGTGTAGCTGTGATAGACAGATGGATAGATCTAGATCTATAGCCTCTCAGTCACATATGACTCGGTTCCTTTCAAACTCATTATGGTGACGGTGGTGCATTGAAGGTCAGCCTTCTTACAGATCCTCTTACCAGGAGCCACAGAGAATTCTTGTATACTGACTCTCGTCTCATTTAACCAGGATTTAGGGGAAGCAAATGCTTCCTTGTTACACAAACATTGCATGATCGAGACACTGAAGCCTGTGACAGATGCAGAAAAACCTTTATCCACCGCTGGTCATGTAATCACTGGATATCTGAATGGAGCTTACTTATGAGAATAGTCAGCTGCTTATGCATTCTTAAGAGATTTAGAGATCTGTATGTACTGATATGTGCACCACACAAATAACTACTTGTTAGTTTTCATACTGTAATTATACAGACAGTACCATCGCTGCAGTACTCAAGTCATTGTGCATTTCAAGAGTGCAGAAATAAAATAAACGATGTACACGGATGGTTTTTTACTGACCTTTACACAACTTTGCAGGAGTCATTGCCATTTTAAGAGAAGTAAATAGTTTGCTGCAAAAACACTGCATTACCAAAATATCAGAGTTGAAGAGAAGAATGATGTTAATATTTCATTCTCATTAATATTTCACACACTTTTAGCTACATCCCCAGACTCTCAGCATTCTCTACAGTTTTTCTCTCCCTTCACTCTGAGAGCTCACAGACGTCAGTGGATATGATCCATGTGCCGGCTGAAACCTGTGCATATCTCTGCCTGTTCCACACTGATGACATGTTCACACACTCGATGTGTGTGTGTGTGGCGTGTCAGTGAAGAGCATTGAAGATGCTACACATCAGCATGGGAAGGTATTTTAGTGAGACGGAGGTTTGCAAATGCACAGCAACCAGCAGCCAGCCTTTTATCTCCTCCCTGCAGCAGGCTTCCTACACGTACGCGTGTTTTAGGTTCTGCTGTGATTTGTTCTAATACAGAGTAGGTGGTTTGTCATGGAGTCCTTAAGAGAACTTTCAACCATCAAACGGCCCTCTTGCCCCCTCCTACTCTTCTGCTTCACTAAGAAAAACTGAAGTTGAAGTTGTGGTGAATTTTACATTGTGAATTAAAATGGATAATAAATTAAACTGAGAATCAGTGTAAATGATTCCTGTTCTTTATATGTAAGTAAATATGTTCCAATACAAAAACACACACAGAGAAGTAAAGTTAAAGCATCTCGTCCGACAGAACAGGACGAAACACAAACTGCACCCTTTTTATGTCTGGAGTCTGCTGTGCTGGAGAGGTCAACTGGAGTCGTACCTATGTACTCATGTACCACAGGTCTGCAGTAGAAAAAGCTATGAAGAAAAGGAAGGTCAAGTCAGGGTCAGTTCCAGCTGCAGGGTCACAGAGTGTCCATGCAGTTCATCTAATAGCCCTCCTCAGCTGGGACACTGTCTTTTATCTACTTCCTGCTGTACTGTAACCTCTAACTGTTCTGTCGCAGAGACAAACAGCTACATTTCCATCAAACCTTAAGAAGTCGGACACTTCCTGTTGCACTGCAACAGCTGTTTATGTAAGCCATGTCAAAGAGAGTCAGCGAAGGCGTGGGAATGCAGAGAGAGCACGACTACCTCACACTCGAATCTTTGGGGAGGCACGAAGAGGACAGCCCCACACACTTGGCTGAAATACAGAAAGATGCTGACATTCACACTTCTCCCTAAAGAGAGTCAGACACCGCAGCACTAAGTGTTTTGTCATCTTCTCTTCTTGAGGTCACACTGCTCCTTCTGGGGTTTGAGAAGTCAAGGAAACGGTTTTGTAACCCTATTGACTCTCCTTCAAACTGGTCTCAATGTAGTTCCATATTTTACAAAAATTAAAATGAACTTGAGGAAACGTTACAGTTTGCATACTAGATATGCAGCAAAAATACAGTATTTTGTTTTTCTAATAAAAAAGTTAATAATTTAGGAATTTATTTTTGCATTTACTCTGTGTTTCAAGCCTAATGTTCCAGTTATGGAAGATTAAGGCAGAGTCTTAGCCAATTGTCTTGCTTCAATGGACAATTAATAAAGTCTTTAAATGAGTTTTGAGTCACCTGAAGTTTAGGAATGTTCTCTGGTGAGTAAAAATGAGTTAAAGAATGGTATTTTAAGGGCATGTTAAAAAAAATCAACTCTTTTCCTTATCTTTTCAAGCAAACTTTTATCAACTCAAAGACAAAAATCGAGGCAGTGATTCCTGTTTTCCTATTTTTACAGTCTCCTGTTCAGCTCTTGACAACTGTCCTATTTTTAGGAGATGCCTGCTGGGAGGGCTTCCAGTATGACAACATGTGGACACAAATGGCATGACAGGAGCCTTTTGCTGTTTTTCTCTGCTTCAAATTGCCCTTTTTTCATCCCAGTCTGTGCCTTTCACCAAGTTCCCTTCTTTCCCTCTCTCTGCTCGCACCTAATGATAATTAGCTGGTGTTAGCTGTCGTTTTGTGCCTGTCCCCAGTCACACCTTGTCAGTGAGGCCTCTGGTGTCAGCCGTGCACCACTAATGGGCCACAGCCTTGGCTCTGACAGCGAGGATGAGCCCATCTTCCTCAGCTGCTGCCTCTTCATTAAGGCCTGCCTCCAGCTACTGTGGCACAAAGCTCAGCACCTTTGTATCTGTGTCTGTCACTGCAGCTGAAGACGAATGGCCACAGCAGCTCAGCACCCAGATCAACCTTTCACATCACATCCACAAAATCTCTTCCTGTTTAATTCTTCTTTTTTTCTTCTTCCAGTGAAAGTAAAGCCCTTTTAAATGAAGTAATCTAGAACTCCGTAATGAGTGATGAAGGCTCACACGCAGAGCTCGTCTGTGTACCGACGTGATGATGTGCATTCGTGAATAGATGTCTTTGTAAGGTTTACTCACGCTCAGATGAATGCGCCTCCAAATGTGGAGGATTATGGGTAATTTGTCCTTTTCAGACAAAAAGAAAATTCAGTTCACAAATCAGGGCAGATTATTTGCTCTTTCACAGCATCGCAGAGATCAGGTGCAGTTCAGTGGAGTCGCCCATGAATCAGAGCTGCTCAGGAATGTGACACGGGGTGTGGTAGAGAGCAGCAGGGTATTGGCTCTGTCTGTGGGTGTAACAGGCTGTTGCCCTTGACTGTCTGGCACAGGGTCAGGGTAACATGGGGCTGGTCACTACCACAAGCACTTATTACTTTCAAGGCACACGCACCAACGTGAGGGGAACATCGTGACTGAGGCATGTTTATTTATGCAAAGATACTTGCGCATTGGAAGATGCTTTCAAAGTGAGGATGCTATTTCTGCCCTCATCTCTGAGTCATGCTTCAGTGCAACACCAGGCTACTTCTATATCATCAATTCCCCTTTGGTGACGGTGTTTGCTGCTAAGTAACCCGTGCATCCTGTGATGTGGTGTCCTGTGATCAAAACACCGACGGCAAACGCTGTCAAAGGACCACAGGCATCAGTTCAATTTAAATGAAATATATTATTTAGGTCTTCCCGTTGTGCCTACTTATTTAGCAATCATTTCCCACTAAGAGATTCTGCTCTGCTGTAAAAGACTCTCTCTATCAGCATGGAAGCTTGTGGACACGTCCAGGCTCTTACTCATCTCTGCACGATTTGAATTGATCGTATTTTATCAAGGCAGAAACCCAGGCACAGGAACTTGGCTATTGAGTTCAGACAGTAACACTGTACTAACAAAAAATATACAATTTTAATTTGAAGTAATTGATTTAATTCATTTTTTTCTTTACAA